ATTCCAAGGGGAGTAGGAGGGCAGCAGTTGCTGCTTTACAGTGGTGGAGATTTATTTGAATAAGCCTCAGAGGGATCCTTACATATCTCCACCACTGTATTGTCGCCCCTGGGTATACTTCCCCAACTTGCACTAGCGTTCGTCTTCGCAGGCTATGATCTTCGTGTTACCCTGGAACCATCCCATGTCTTTGCAGACTGGAGGTGGGCCGGGGTCCTTGTCGGCCAATGCCGCTTCCACCCACTTCCACTGGCTCCTGGGGATTCTGCCATCCGCGCTGCCTTTGTCTACGACGCCTATCAGCGTCCTCTCCTTGGCAATCTGCGCGAAGGACACGTTTGGCAGTATCCTGGATCGTTTTGCAGCTGGTCCAGGCGTCTCTTGCGAGCGTTGCCTTTTCGGTTGCTGGGGCGGTCTGTGAGGTTCCAGGCTGAAGCTTGGAAACACTTTCGACTTCACCTTCTTCAACCAGTCCTCTGATGGGCTGGCTTCTGTGCTCGCGTATTGGGGACGGAGTATGTGCTCGCACTCCTCTTTTCGGCATACGTGAAGCGTTTGGCTTCTGCGCTGGTCGATGGCCCAACCTCCCCCTCTACTTTGCCAGAAGGTCGGGCAGCCGCAATGTTGCTTAGCTGCATTTCCAAGGCGTCGGTATTGGGGGGTGCTGTGCCCCCCTCCCCAGGATTGGAGTGGGGCCCCGACGGGCTCGCACCCTCGCTTTCAACCGAGCAGGTCTTTCGTGCTGTTGAACAGGTGTGGCCAGGCCTTTGGGTCGCTGCCTTCCCCTGCTTGGGATTTATCCCTGTAGACTTTTGGGTAGTGTCTGTCTCATTCGTTTTTTTCTGTGTTTTTTTTGTTTTCCTGCTCCATATTATTCACGAGATGCAAAGAAGGGGAACGGTCAGCCCAGGCAAAGATCCACGTTGCCCGGGTAAGGCATCATTAGAACATGGGCTGCCATTTCCCTGAGCTCTCCGTTCACGACTGGGCTAGTTTTTATACCGGGCCCCCAGCCAGACTGACTCTCGGCACGGGTCAAATGACACCTTAGTCCGGCCCGGTTTAAGGTGGGTGTGTGGGATATGGGTAGGTATTGTGGGGGGAGGGGAAGTGTGTGAGCTACTTATACGAGGCGGCACCACAAGCGTATCGTCAGTGTTGCTACTTCGCGAACACCCGCTGGCTGTCCGGGGCTGTTTATTTCGGAACTTTTAATCAGTGTCTGTGTGAACTGTGTTGACATTCTTTGGGATACCCGCTTATTCACAGCTGACCTACCTAAACCAGGTAGGCAGTTCGCTATCCGCAACCTGCGACCCGTCCGGTGGCCTCAGGTGGGCCCCTTGAGCCACCTCACGCTCATTGGATTCGTCGGAATTACATATGTACAGCTGTGTTCAATGAAATGCCGCACCTTACCACTTTCAACACAATTTCATGCCATCTTCTCGATTTACATGACTTTACAAAAATACCCATGAAAACTGCTGTTCAATGAAATAGTAGTGCATTTTTTGAAAATTGAAAAAAAACGAATCTTAAGTTAATACCATTCTTTCATGCTCTACATGTTTCTTGAGGTTTAATATTTACTTTTCTATCAATTTTGATTTAATTACTTTCTTACTCCCTCCTTGAATAAATCAATAAGGTCGTGCCCAAGCTTCAATAGGATTTTAGACAATTTTTTAATCCACTGGCTCTTACTTTGTTTTGGATGCCGGAATTGCATTTATTATAATGCATTTGGCATTCCCCTATAAGATTTTGATAACATTCAGGTTCATGGACTGATTTGAACATGGAAAAACGCCGATCTTTTCAGATAAAACCCAATTTCTGGCGAGCTTTCTTGAGTATTTCTGATCATTATCTTGTTGAAAGATCCTTTTGAAAGGTTTTTTATACCTGTTACTCGAAGACAAAATAAGGTACATTTCATTTGTGGGGACTACCGGTTGTATGTAACACACAGAAGGAAACGTTTCTAACCCCATAAAGTATATATATTCTTGATCAGCATCAAAAGCCGAGTCGATTGAGAAATGTCTGTCTGTCCGTCCGTCCATCCGTTCCTATGAGCGCCTGGATCTCAGAGACCCAAAAGCTAAACTTATAATGTTGCAAATGAGGAACAATAACTTTCTAGGGACAAAGGATGCTTCTTTTCGCATAACAGTATCTATTTTTTTGTAGAGGGTCAGCGAGCCACTATTTAAAGCATCTCCACACCATTTTACATCTACCAGACTTGGACATCTTGGTCAAAATTGATAGTATTATGCGAAAATAACTATCTTTGGGTCTTGGAAAGTCTTGATCCTAATTTACGACATTGTAAGTCTAGCTTTTGGGTTCAAGGGCGACCTTGGACTTGCAGTTTCGCATCTTTTCCACTATGATCACTACCGATTGGCTAATGCCAAGTTTTTCAGCTGTTTTAGATCTCGTATAGGCATTTTCAGTAAGCTACTCAATAATATTTTAAATTTCTCGATATTGTTTTTTCAGTCTCAGGTACAACATAGGCACTACTTAATAAATTCATGAAATCTGCTTCGATTATTATAAGAAATGTCTTAATTTGATGTTAGTATTACTAGAATATACAAAAAAATATTTAACGTCAATTCTGTGAGCATATCGTTGATTAGAAAATTTAGATATATAACATAACGAAAAGTTCAAAATTGATTACATGCGAGTTGTTTTGGCTTGTCATTTTTCGCTCTGTTAAAGCTTTTCATTTCTTTTTGTTTTCATTGCCTGTTTGCTAAGAATAAAGTTCGCTTAGAAGTTATGGGCGAAGAAAGTCAGTTATTGTGAACATGTACTCATCATTGCTCCCCACTGTATGTGTTCGTCTGCTTGCATCTAAAATTACCATACTGGCATTAGAACAAGAATATTCAAAATGCTAAATAGTTATTTATGCTTCTATGATTCAAGTTATAATTCAAAATAATAAATTCAAATAATTCAAATTCAAACAATATTTTGGGTGGGGCGGATTTTTTTATTTTTTTTATACGTTTAAAGACTCTAGGCTGAAACTTAATGGCGTGTTCAATATCTATTGAGAAGTATGGTTTACCGCTAAGTTTCCAAGAGATACCGTGTTGTGTTGCTGTGAATACGTAATGACATATTATATATGAGTTGTTTAAACATAAAATAAAATGTCCATTTCACCATAAGATTTGACGTTTACATTTGAATTGTCCGATAACAGCCAGTTAATTCAGGCCCAGCGATTCGGTTGCATCTTTGGCATAATCTACATACATACATTCAGAAAGAGTGCGGCAGTACGACGCTAGTTGAACCTGTCACACTTCTCTGGGGTTGATTCCGAGCCATGGGCAGTCTTTGGCCTCCGATTGCGTGGTTGTCTCGCGAGAAGCGCCTCATTGTGTTGGTCGACATTGTAATGGTAGAAGAAGGACTTGCCGTATTCGAAGGATGAAATCATGATTGCACATGCGGGCGCCACCTTGAAGAGACGCGGTCCGAGTCCAGCGAAAATACCGCGCACACCGCCGAGGCGGTAAATGCTAGACAGGCGGGTCATCACCGACTTAGTGGCCACATTTTTAGGAAGATTGTCTGCCGTAATGCAAACAACCATAGTCAATTCGTACTGATCTTATTGCAGCGCCCGAGATACCTACCTGTGAATATAAATTTCTCTCCAAACTCGATTTGCTCATGGGTTTTAATCACATCAAACGGTGTGGTAATCATGGCAGCGACCTAAAATATTTAACGTTCGATTAAAAACCCTTAAATGAAAGCTCATTACTGTTTAAAAAAATCAATCATACCGAGCCCGATATTGCTCCCGCTGCGAAACTGAAGCCGAACGTTGGTTCGACCACATTAAAACTGTTTTTAAGGTACTCGTAACAGGTCCAGTAGATGCCCGAAAATGGGACATCGCGTAGTATTGTTGGCGGCAGTCCACGCCACAGCCCAAGAAGTCCCTGGGACTGAACCACCTGGCGGATGGTGCCGAACATTTCAGCGTGCGTCATCCTCTGCGACTGCATTTTGGTGCGTATCAATTCAACAGGACTGACGCAGGTCACTGCTAGAATGCGAGCTGTCACGCCCGCCAGCAAGGGAACAAGCATTGGAATGTCACGGACATCGGCTGTGTTTTTAACTGGGTCTATGCTTGGCAAGTACTTGTGATGGAAGTCCGTAAAGCGAGCTTTCAATTGTTCGTAGGCCACAAAGTAGATTATAGTCGAGGGCAAGGCCGAGATAAGAGTAGGACTCAGTCCAGACCACAGCGAAGGAACTCCCTCTGAGCGACTTATCTTAATGAACGCGTCCTGCAAAGTCCCAGCAAACATATTTATACTGCATTTATTTATATGTATGCATTGCATACTTACAATGGTGCCAGAAAACTGCGGAGCAGTCTTGGACAGTGTCGGGTTAGGCGTGCCAGGACCGCATGGACAGATGTGATCCATGAGGCCGTTGCAATATAGGAAGCACTTATTCGAAAGCAGGGCCGACTGTTGAGCTTGCAAGCGTGTCTTGATCACATCCAAGGGTGTCACTGCAATCAATAATATAATGAATACCAGCAGCTCAAACATCATAGTATATATACATTTACACAGTTAAAATTATAGTTGTTGTAAAATTCTACAGACTTACTAAAACAGGCGGTCACCATGGCGCCAGTGCAGGCCGATGCTACTTGCTGAAGCGGTCGTATGCAAAATCTGGGATCTGTCATTTTCGCCTTTGACTGCCTTCGCTCCGGTAGTACTCTACATCTGCCTGCCGTTGCTGAAAGAGCCGCGCTTGGTTCCCTTATGGTCATGGTTCTTATTGTAACCGAGTCAACGTGTTCCTGGGTAAGCTTGTTGGGTGAGGGATGGTGTTTTCGGCGCACGCTGCAGCGTTGTTTTTTTTTTGTTTTTTTGAGGTTTTATGTTACCACTCTACCCTTGGGTAGAGGGGGATTATTTGGCCGCCCGCCTTTACAAGGTGGAAATCGCAACGTCGGTATATGTAACTTGCTGCAGTTTTACTCCAATACTTACCTGGCGTAGAGGTTACCTAGTCTACACAATTGCAGAAGGAAATTGCAGCGTTGTTAATTTCATATATAGAAAGAATATGGCAATCAGGCAGGTCTCTTAATCATTGTGAAATTCCAGGTCCAAATTAACAGATTTTTTCAGTCCGATTTCATTCATTTCGATAAGCGATTGCGATGCCGGACAGATGTTCTAGCCCATGTGGCCGGCTTATCGATATGCACAGTCGATCCTAATTTTTATCCCCGGTACTCGAAGATTACATGGTATATCGAATTTGTACGGAAGAGCGTTTTGGCGTGAGAAGTGATGTATATGTAGATGTTTATGAAAGATGTGAAAAAAATGTAAAATTTTTATATATAAATTTTGAAAAAAAGCCGTTAAGGATTTCTACTGAGTACTGGGTATAAACGTTGTGACGCGTAAGAAGCGTCTCACACGTCCCTTCTTGTTCTTCTTAAAGGCAGGTATCCAGCACAGCGCAAAAAAAATTCCTGCCAAACTTCATATAAAAATAACTGTTTCAGGAAATTTTCGTTTGCCTTTTCGTTCGTTCAGAATCCAGGAACGAAAACGAAAACCACAAATTCTTATCGATTTGGAGAGCGCGTGTGGACTGAGAGAAAATCTGTTAGACCCTTTAGGAAAATATAGTTTACAATTATTCCTGGAGTGAAGAGTGAAAAATGGAAGAAGCAACTGTGCGCAAAAACGTAAAAGAGAGTCGAAATAGATCGTCGCAGTAGAAAAATACTTTTCCCATTACTGTTTGGAGAATGAAATCATTTTACTAAAATTAATCAAATAATTTGGTATATTTTGAGCACTTTTGGCAATAATGGAAATTTGGCGAACCGTGTGCATTTTTGACAAATTCCAAATGCATTCTCAATTCAACTACCATCTTTAATTATTAACTTTGCTATTTTCAGTTTAAATTTCAATCTGCCACTGCAGTATACATGTTTACAAAACACAGCTTATTTGTATGCCTGTGTTGGTTACTTTCGACGCACAAACGAAATATATAACAAATTTTCTCTCCAAAATGAAACCCGTTGAATATTAAAATTGTGTATTAAAGCAAGAAGAGTGTGTTATTTCAGAATGGAATAGGAAGGAGGAAGAACCGCATTATTTGATAAGTCCGTTCCGGAGGGACAGAAATTCAATAAACATGTGTTTGATAAAATGAGTACCGAGTATATGATAAAAATAAAATAAAATATATAATCACATCCATATTATCAGTTTTCGTTCTACTGCAATAATAGGTTTTAAATTTTCTTCACTTAATCATCTTTTCTAGCCCTATAGCGCTTGTGTTGATTGTATTCTTCCTTGTGTCTAGGATCTAGATTCTGTAGTGAAAAGATTAAAAAAACGGCTAAGTTTTCTGCTATCATCTTTGCTGAGCTGAGTACTCAACTGCGACAATTCTTGCGACAAAATATTCTGTCGAACAAAAAACAGGGCTGATTTCTTATCGTTTGTGTGGGAAAATCATCCCTGATTCTGTCGCAAGAATATTTTGCTTGTCTGAGTACTGGTAGACTAGTACTTGCTCAGTACTCAGATCGGAAAACCCTAGTACTCAGATAAAAAAAGGGCGCCGCTATATAAATCTGGAATGATATTCGTATGGAACCGATAAGAAATGTTGTCGCGCACAAACTTGTTTCTAGCGGCTGTACGCCAGGAACGACTCAGATCGAAAAATTAAGAGGCCGCTTAAATCTAGAAAATCAGACGATAGTATTTTGTGGTATTGATAGTATTTAAGTGGTATTGATAGTATTTGTGTGGTATTCGTTGGTATGTTGCTAGCACCTCGACAAATATATATCTGTTCTATATTCCGAGAGGGTACATAGCAAACACAGTAAAGTCTCAACAAAATGGAGGCAACGATGCCGCTGAAGTTGAAAGATAAATTACCACCGTGCTTCTAAATGAGCTTAGAGCCATCAAACGCCAAAGAAAGGAAACAATTATTATTGATTATATATATATATATATATATATATATATGTATATACATATTGAATTCATTTGCTTTAAGTGGTTTTTCTTTTGGGAAACCCGCGATGGCGACAATTTGGACGCGAAACTATCCAATTTTGAATAGGAAGGGTGCTTGGAGGCGCCGTTTTACAACTTTGCCACGTTCGCAAATATTCCTTGGCACGGCCTTGCTGCTCCACCAATCAAAGAAGGCTGCAGATGTTATTCCCAAACATATGCAAATTCTCTGTCATATTTTCAAACTGAGGAAAATGCAAAGGGTATCGTTTCATGGATTTCAATAAATGTACACATATTTATATGATTTATAATACTCAAATACTTTAAAATTACTCTACTGCAGATAAGGGTTTAATCAAAGCTGTCGGCGTTTATTTCGTTGATTGTCCTCCTCCTCCGATCATGCAAGAGCCGCCAATCCCACTGAAAGCAATCTCCTGCATGCATCAATTTTGTATTCATGTTTTTATTAACCTTTAATTAAATATTCACACATTTTCACTCTGGTCAGACTCGGCTGCAATCAAAATATATTGCACAGTTTGCTAGCAAACGTGTTTTCGGATCTGGGTACTATGTTAAGAGCCTAGCAAACTGTGAAATATATTTTGCTTGCAGCCGAGTGTGACCAGAGGTGAAAACTGCATTCCAGCTCACTCCATTGTCGTTTCACTCACACTTTCTACGAAGAACCCTTTCATTTGCTCTTATAAACAGCATAGATGGTAGATAACTTTTGTCGACGAGACCCCCTTGTAAAGTTACATTATGGCTCGGCCCCTCCCCATAAATCGTAACCTTGCCTGTACTCTGGATGGATAAGAACCTGTTTCAAAATACTTTTGGTATTTTGCCAATGGATTTCCTTTGAATTGCAAATTTGCAAACAAATTGGATCAGTTAATATTTTCCAATTTATTAGATATTTAAAACAGCAGAAAAATTGGTACATTCTTCGACCGATGATCCTATTGGTCTTTGAGGTGGCTCAGAGGGGGCCTAGCTGAGGCCACCGGACGGGTCGCAGGTTGCGGATAGCGAACGGCCTACCCCAGTGGGTAGGTCAGCTGCGAATAAGCGGGCAACTTAAAGAGCATCAACCAAGTTGGCTCTGAGGGAGAGTACCGAAATAAGCAGTCCCGGACAGCCAGCGGGTGTTCGCGACGCAGCAACACTGACGATGCGCTTGTGGTGCCGCCTCTCATTAAGTATCTCACACAATCCCATCCCTACACAACACCTACCCACATCCCAGCCCCAACACTCACCTCACACCGGGCCGGACTAAGGTGTCACTCGACCCGTGCCAAGAGTCAGCCTGGCTGGGGCCCCGGTATAAAAACTAGCCCAGTCGTGAACGGAGAGCTCAGGGACTTGGCAGCCCCCTGTTCAAATTATGCCTTACCCGGGTAACGCAGAGCTCTGCCGGGGTGGACCGTTCCCCTTCTCTGCAGCTCGTAGGAATTTTATGGATAAACTACTAAATATTGACAACAACAAAAACAAAAACGAGAGAGGCACTCCCCAAATGCCTGCAGGGAGAAATCCCAAGCGGGAGAAGGCAACGGCCCAAAGGCCTGGCCCGATCCGCTCAGACGCAGGAAAGACCTGCACGGTGAAGGACGCGGGTATGAATCCGGGTGGGTTACATCCTAAACCTGGTATGGGTGGAAAGCCAACATCCAAAACTGATACCATGGTAGGGCAGCTAAGCAATATTGCGGCTGCTCAACCTTCCGGTGAAGCGGCGGGTGATGGCTTACCATCAACCAGCGCCCAAACCAAAAAAATATAGCTATGCCTAAAAGAGGAGTGCTGGGCACATACTCCGTCGGCAGAACGCCAGCCATGAAGTCAGTCCAACAGCAGACTGGTTGAAGAAAGTGGAATGGGCCTCGGTGGTGTTGCCCAACTTCAGTGTGGAGCCACAGAAGGTGGCCGCACAACCGAAGAGGCAGCGCTCTCAAGAGACACCCGGACCTGCCGCGAAGCGATCCAGGTTTCTACCAAATGTATCCTTCTCGCAGATTGCCAAGGAGAGGACGCTGATAGGCGTTCTCGACAAAGGCAGCGCGGAGGGGAAAATACCCAGAAGCCAAAGGAAGTGGGTGGAAGCGGCACTGGCCGACCGCTGCTTCGAGCTTCTCGACAAGGATCCCGGGCCACCGCCGGTCTGCAAAGATATGGGATGGTTCCAGGGGAGCATCAAAGTGGTAGCCTGCGAGGATGAGCGCTCCGTAAAGCTATACAAAGCTGCGGTGGCGCAAACGGAGAGGTCTACGCCGGGGCGAAGCTCGTCGCTGTGGACTGGAGCGAGGTGCCCAGTAGACCAAGGGCCCGTATATGGGTACCGGCCACCTTCAAGGAGCCCGAGCGGATCCTCACGATGTTGCAGAGATGCAACCCCACACTGTCAACCTCAGATTGGAAGGTGGTTAAAGTGGAGGCATCAAAGGGCCCCACAAATCAGGCGGTGGTTATCCTGAACAAGGAATCGCTAGCCCCCTAGCTCCGTCGTTCCCCTCTCGAATTGAAGCCCAAGTCGAGCCACTGGTACTTCCAGATATTCAGCCTACGTCGCCGGCTCCGCGCAAGACAGTTGTTGGGTCAACTGCAGGACGTTGTCTCGGAGATCGAGGCACCCGAAGTAGACCCGGAGCCGGAGCCGGCCCTGGAGAGCTACTCCTCGGAGACGGAGCTGATGCTCGATTTTGAGGCGCTGTGTCGGGACGAGATCCTAGACGACTCGGACGCCGATATAACAGTGGTGGAGAATGACTCTAATGAAGTCTCTGAGGCTTCTGCAGATTAATCTCCACCATTGTAAAGCAGAATCCGCTGCCCTGATACTCCGCTTAGTCGCGAGCGGAGGGGACATAGTCCTAATCCAAGAGCCCTGGGTGGTAGGAGGCAGGGTCGGTGGATTAGCGACGAAGGACTACAAGCTGATTGTAGCCCAAACTGAATGTAAAATTAGAACCTGCATATTAGCAAGAAAGCACTTAAATATCTTTCTGCTCCATAACTTTAGCAATGGCGACAACACGGCGGCTAGCCTAGAGCTACAAGGGACACGCCTGAATCTGGTGTCGTCCTACATGGCTCATGAAGAAAGCGATCCTCCCAGTGACCTCGTTCGCAAGATTGCCAGGGACAGCGAGAGGTCGAATACAAGCCTACTAATAGGCTGCGATGCCAACGCTCATCACACCCAATGGGGGAGCTCGGATACAAATGTAAGGGGTGAGTCACTTTTCAGCTTCATCCTAAACTCCAACCTAATTATTGGTAATCGGGGTAATGATCCCACTTCTATCATAAAAAACCGTCAAGAGGTTATTGAACTCACTCTATTGTCTCACAAACTGTCAGACATAATGAAAAGTTGGAGAGTCCTAGAGGACCACTCCTTCTCCGACCACAGGTACATCGAGACAATCCTATCGCTCGAAAGCACCACACCCACTAGCTATATAAACCCAAGAAAAGCCAACTGGGATACGTATAGTGCAAAAATGGAGGAATTACTCCCCCCCCCCCCCCCCCCTAGCCCCAAAATGCCCGGACACACAAGACGATCTTAATCGTCTTGTGGACAATTTAACGGAAGCTTGCAACAAGGCCTTCATGGCAGCTTACCCCTCAACCAAACCAAGAGGGAAAATGAAACCCCCCTGGTGGTCTAAACATATAGATACCCTCCGGAAAGACTTCAGGACTCTCTTTAACACAGCCAAAAGCAGCAGCGAGGTAGCGCACTGGGAAAATTACAAAAGTAAGCTAACCCTATACAAAAAAGAAACAAGGAGAGCAAAAAGGTCCTCTTGGCAAAAATTTTGCTCCGAAATTGAGGACACATCAAAAACATCCCCCTTGGTGGGATATCTCAAGAGAACTGATGGTACGTGGACAAACTCTAGTGAGGACTCCCTACACATTCTACTCGATACTCATTTTCCTGGGTGTACGACCATCAAGCCGGCAGAAACCCCAAGTGAAGGCCCGGAAACCTCGATGGGGCACATCCTCACAAAACGGAATATTAGCTGGGCAGTAAACAGCTTTAAATCCTACAAATCACCTGGCCCGGACCAAGTCATTCCGGCTCAGCTACAAAAAGCCGGGGACATGGCCATCAACTGGCTGCAAAGTAACTTCAGGAAGATACTGACAGTGGGAAAAATCCCCCGCGCTTGGCTAAAGGCTAAAATAGTCTTTATCCCTAAAGCAGGGAAACCCTCACACACAACCCCAAAAGACTTCAGACCAATAAGTCTATCGTCCTTCCTTCTCAAAACCTTTGAAAGACTAGTAGGGCTGCAGCTGAGGACAACCATTAATCCTCAGTGGCTGTCAGGCGCCCAACATGCCTACCGAAAAGGGAAATCCACGGAAACGGCACTCCATGAAGTAATCTCGGCGGTATAGAAATCTCTACACGTCAAAGAATACTCCTTAATCGCTTTCCTAGACATTGAGGGAGCTTTTAACAATGTCATACCGTAAGCCATCACAGAGGCCCTGACTGACCTGGGAGTGGATTGTCACTTGGTGATGCTCATAGATCAATTGCTCACATGCCGGACAGTGACATCATCAATGGGATCGTCCACTCAGTCAAGGTATGTCAACAGAGGCACCGCAAGGCGGTGGAACTACTACTATGGAACATAGCAGTCAATAAGATTCTGTGTGACCTGGAAGGGGAGGGCTGTAAGGTGGTAGCATACGCGGACGACGTTGCCATTATCTTCTCGGGAAAATTCCCTCAAACACTCTGCGAATTAATGACCGCGAAGCTCGCGCAACTGTCAGAATGGACAAAGTCGCGTGGACTGGGAATTAATCCCTCTAAAACGGAACTTGTGTTGTTTACAACCAAATACAAAATCCCGTCCCTCAACCCCCCAATACTAAACGGATGCAGGCTCTCCTTCAGCGACAGTGCCAGTTACTTAGGGTTGGTAATTGATAAAAAGCTCAGCTGGAACCTGAGCATCAAAGACACAGTGAAGAAGGCCACTATAGCCCNACACAACCCCAAAAGACTTCAGACCAATAAGTCTATCGTCCTTCCTTCTCAAAACCTTTGAAAGACTAGTAGGGCTGCAGCTGAGGACAACCATTAATCCTCAGTGGCTGTCAGGCGCCCAACATGCCTACCGAAAAGGGAAATCCACGGAAACGGCACTCCATGAAGTAATCTCGGCGGTAGAGAAATCTCTACACGTCAAAGAATACTCCTTAATCGCTTTCCTAGACATTGAGGGAGCTTTTAACAATGTCATACCGGAAGCCATCACAGAGGCCCTGACTGACCTGGGAGTGGATTGTCACTTGGTGATGCTCATAGATCAATTGCTCACATGCAGGACAGTGACATCATCAATGGGATCGTCCACTCAGTCAAGGTATGTCAACAGAGGCCCCCCGCAAGGCGGTGTCCTGTCTCCCCTACTATGGAACATAGCAGTCAATAAGATTCTGTGTGACCTGGAAGGGGAGGGCTGTAAGGTGGTAGCATACGCGGACGACGTTGCCATTATCTTCTCGGGAAAATTCCCTCAAACACTCTGCGAATTAATGACCGCGAAGCTCGCGCAACTGTCAGAATGGACAAAGTCGCGTGGACTGGGAATTAATCCCTCTAAAACGGAACTTGTGTTGTTTACAACCAAATACAAAATCCCGTCCCTCAACCCCCCAATACTAAACGGATGCAGGCTCTCCTTCAGCGACAGTGCCAGTTACTTAGGGTTGGTAATTGATAAAAAGCTCAGCTGGAACCTGAGCATCAAAGACACAGTGAAGAAGGCCACTATAGCCCTCTACACTTGCAAGAAGGCCATTGGGCTAAAATGGGGCATGAACCCAAGAATAGTCCAATGGATCTACCTAGCAATTACTATTGCCAATACTGCTCTACGGAGTCGCAGTGTGGTGGGCTGCCCTATCGAAGGGGACCATCACTAAACAACTAGGCAAGGTGCAGCGTACTGCAGCCCTAAGCATCAGTGGAGCTCTGAGCACAACACCAACGGATGCGCTAAATGCTATACTATGCCTGCAGAGCCTTGACCTTGCAGGTAAGGAGCAGGCAGAAATGGCAGCAATCCGTCTTAGAGACTATCTGGCCAATGGGTGTCACATCACACCGGTCATGCGTCCATCCTAAATGGAAACAAAATCGTCCCCATAAAAACGGACTACTGCGTTCCGAGGGAGTATACAGATACCCCCTTTGAAACAATCATCCCTCACAGAAACAACTGGCTTGAGGGACCACCTGGTCCAAAGGGAGCCATTCGAATCTTTACTCATGGCTCAAAGCTGGACAACAAGGTCGGAGGAGGAATCTACTCCGAACAGCTGAACATAAGTTACTCCTTCAGGCTCCCGGATCACTGCAGTGTCTTCCAAGCAGAGGTCATAGCGATCAAGGAAGCTTTGAGCTGTCTTCAGGAACTAACCCCTGCGGCAACTCACATAAATATTTATAGTGATAGCCAAGCTGCAATCATACATGCAATTGACTCATACAACGTCGCCCAATAGGTGCTAGGCCACTACTGTTGGCGGCCAAGCGCTCCAGAGGCCCCGCACGCCGAGCTGCTGGACCAGGGCATGCCTGATTCCACTGTTTGACCGCTTTGACGAAACGCCAAAAGTTTGGAGAATGAGTTGTTCAGGTGAGGAAGTATATATGTAATTGTGGAAGGCAGGGCCGAAACGAGTGTGGGACTCAAGCCAGACCAGATGCCGGGTATGCCGCTGTCACACACTATATTCCGTAGCGCATACTGTGGCACACCAGATGAAGATACCAGAGAAACCATGACTTTCTCTGTCGCACTTACAATGACCTCGCGCCATGAAGAAACTATAAGAAGGTCTCGTCGGAGATACGAAGCAGAACGTGCGAGTGAAAAGTGCGAGTGAGAGGGCTCTCGCTGCAAGTGTGAGGGCAACGACAATGGAGTGTGCTGTTCATGAAGAAAACATTCGTCCGCAACCAACCTTCCGCGTCGACAAGCAAACGAGCACTGATCAAAGGCAGAACCAGCGAGTAACTCGGCCACCGACAAGGCCTCCTTATAGTTTCTTCATGACCTCGCGCAGCGTCCGCATCTTTTTGAGATCCCTTTCGGGTTTTGTAAAGAGCTCGGCATTCTGCTTGCAGACATGTGTCATCAAGCTATTGTGGAAAACGTAGCACAGCTTGGAGACAGTCGATGGTGTCTGATGGCGTACTGCGTGCTGAGTCTGAACCCGAGTCTCTACCACCTCCAAGAGCGTCACTGGAAATTAGCGTGCGAGAATCTAATAATTAACATCCCCTACGTGGCCCGGGCATATTCAGGAAAATACCTCACCCAAAAAAGTCGTGATGAGTCCGCCTATGAGTGCAGATATGACATGCTGCATGGGTCTGATGCGGCATTGCGACTCCTGGTGCAGCGGACCCGGAGCCCCACCCATCTCCACCTTCAAACCTGCTAGCCCATGTTTACTACCCAAAATAACCAAAATACCCAATAAAAAAGTACAGCGCGAAATTGACAAAAATTATTACGTTTAATTGCGAAAATAATAATAAAAATGAATTAATTTAATCATTTAATCAAATTTAATAATAATTTGCATTACATTTAAGTTAATTATGAGTAGTAAGTCAGTATCATATTATAGCTTTTAGTCAGAACCAAAAAAGTTAATTAGTTGATAGGACACTCAACTCCAATCTTATCGGCATGATAATAATCTGATCCTTCATCTCTCGCTCCAAAAAGTGGTATCGGATGGATGGGGTAACGGCCTTTACTTGTGCGCAATAGGAATCAATGTCTCGCCAGCGGTGAGGGCGGGTAACGGCGCATCTACAGTTAGAACTCCGTCCTTGCTGAGGGATGAGCGGATGGACTCGGGATTCACGCCCTTGGGCAGTAGAAATTCACGGTTATATTCTCTGTATACGCTCTTTGTGTCCGACTTCTCTTCATGCTTGGCATGCACCTAAACAGGATACAAAATTTAAAGATAGCAAATCAATACCAGGAGAAATAAATTCGTTTTCGCTTACCAATAGCTTCTGGTCAACGGTCTTCACCACTATTTCCTCGGGTGCATACTGACTGACGTCGAAGCGGAGCTTTAGCACTTTGCTGTCGCCCTCATCCTGCAACCAGGCAAACACAAATATATGTAAGTTTAGGTCGAATTCATTCAAAACGAGAAGGGACGTGTGAGACGCTTCTTACGCGTCACAACTTGTATACCCGGCACTTGTAAAATTTAACATTTTTTCTTCATCTGTCATCTACATCTACAACACTTCTCACACCAACACGCTCCTTTAGCTCGCCCCCCTTCCCTAGACCCACACACTGCAGACTCGAGTCAGAGACAGTGGCCGCACACAGCAGAAGCAGAGTGTATATGAGAGAATGTGGAAAAAACAAATATTAGCTGCGGGGCGGGGTGGGTTTATCCACTGCATTTTAATTTCTTCATTCTGGCTATAATAATGGTCCAATCGGATCCCAATTTGGTGATCTGATAGATATGGTCATTCCCTACGGAATTTTTAGTTTTCTTTTATCTTCAAAATTTTAGATTTGGGAGGTTTTCGCCCTTTTGCGGGGGTGGATGGGGGCGGTTCTCATTTTGTAAATACACTTGTAACAGTGTGAGCATACAGAAGTCTGGATGCAAAATTTGGTGGCTCTAGCTTTTATGGTCTCTGAGTACTAGGCGCTCATTAAGACGGAGAGACAAACATGGCTCAATTGTCGTATTTACTTTTCTTTTATCTTTAGAATCGACCTTTGAGGAGGCGGATGGGGCGGTGCGAAATTTTGAAATATACGGATAGCAGTGTAATATCACATGAGACCTCACATGAGACCGGCTCTAGCTCTTATAGTCTCTGATATCCAGACGCTAATCAAGACGGACAGACAGACAGACATAGCCTCAACTATTGATACTGATCAAGAGCATATGTACATATACTTTATGGGGTCGGAAACGTTTCCTTATGTGCGTTACATTTATCCAATTTTGTGCACAAATACAATATATGAACCGAATTTACTCTAGGAGTACCGGGCATGATGAAACTGATCGACAAAAGAGATCTTTTATAGATTTTTAATAGTTTACTGAATGATATCACTACTCGACACGATTTTGTCGCTTCGATCCAGACCAACTTTTTCTGAAAGATATGGGCCTTAGAAATAGTTTGATAGTTTTCTATGGTAGAAGTTTTTAATTAGGTAGGTATTACATGGAATTTTTAACGGTTTTTTAGAGAAAGGTTTTTTTTTACATAACTTTAGTATCTTACATCTGGTTGTAACTTTTCTTTTCTATAAAGCTGAAGAACGCATAAGTATATAATGTATACCCAAAAACTTTGTGGTTTTAGCTTACCGTTTGAAAAATATTAAGCTTTGGATTTGGTTTTTTACGAGATTATAACTTTAAAAACTCAGGAAAAGTAAAATAAAAAAAAATGTAATTCTGTGTAAACTATTTTTTTATGAAAAACATACCAGACTCTAAAAATTATTCAAAAAATAGTTCTGCCATAGAAAAAAATTTATCAGAAAATTTCGGTTTGGTTCGAAGCGGAAAAAAAGTTCGATTTTGTCGAGTAGTGTAATAGTCGTGTTTTTTGTTTTTGAACAATAATTTTATATATCTGCCCTTTCTTAGGCGACGACTTCCAATGAGAAGAAATAAAATGCGAATAACAAATGACCGAATTCACACCAAGGCCGAAAGTCCAGAGTTTGCTCCCACAATGTTCTTCTCACTAAACATTTTGGTACATAAACACATTTTACACACGGTACGTGCTTGAGGCAAAACCTGCAGGGGGGTAATAGGTACAGATGTCATACTAAGTACCGGGTATAAAATTTGTGATGCGTAAGAAGCGTCTTACACGTCCTTTCTCGATTCTCTTCGAGTACCGGGCATAAATAAATAAAAGAAAAAATTTACATATGTGCATACATACAGATAGTTATGTACGTACCTGTATCAAGGGTGAGCTGATGTCGGACACTAAGTTCTGTTGCTTGGGGATTCGCGATGGCAGCGCCGAGTTTGTCGTGGAGCTGAAATGATACCAGGGGCGAATAGCAATGAGGCAATTCAATCGAAAAAAAAAACAAAACGAGAAGGGACGTGTGAGACGCTTCTTACGCGTCACAACTTTTATACCCGGCACTCAGTACTACCTCTGCACCTTAGCGGTTTTTTTTCAAATTTAAAATTTTTTCTTCATCTGTCATCTACATCTTCTCTGCCTCTGCCTCTGACGCGTCTCTGCCCTGACTCTTCAATGTGTGGCTCTAGCGGAGAGTGGCGAGCTAAAGGAGCGTGTTGGCGTGAGTAGTGTTGTTGATGTATATGACAGATGAAGAAAAAATGTAAAATTTAACAAAACACCGCTAAGGTAAAGATGTAGTACTTGGTGCCGGGTATAAAGTTGTTCTCGTTTCCATGTTAAAATCAGTCCATGGATCTGAATGTCATCAAAATGTTATGGGGAAATTCCAAAAGCATTGTAATAAATGCAATTCCGGCAACAAGAGCAAAGTGAGAGCCAGTGGTTATAAAATTATTGGCTAAAATAGTATTAAAGCTGGGGGAGGATCTTATTGATATATTCCAGGCGGGAGCAAGGAAGAAATTTAATCAAAATTGATAAAAAAATTAATATTAAACATAAAAAAACATGTAGAGCATGAAAGATGCGTATTAACCCAAGCTTCTGTTTTTTATACCCGGTACTCGATGAGTAAATAGGGTATATTGTATTTGTGCGAATAACGGTTGTATGTAACGCACAGAAGGAAACGTTTCCGACCCCATAAAGTATATCTATTCGTGATCAGCATCAATAGCCGATTCGATTGAGCCATGTGTGTCTGTCTGTCTTAATGAACGCCTACTACTCAGAGACTATAAAAGATAGAGCCACCTAATTTTGCAACCAGACTTCTGTATGCTCACACTGTTACAAGTTTATTTCCAATATGAGCCCCGCCCCCTTCCGCCCCTGCAATAGGGCGAAAACCTCCCAAATCTACAATTTTGAAGATACAAGAAAACTAAAGACATTCCGTAAGGAATGGCCATATATATCCGATCACCAAATTGGGATCCGATTGGATCATTATTATAGCCACAATGAAGAAACTAATTTCCAGTGGCCAAACCCACCCTGTCCAGCAGTTTTTGTTGTTGTTTTTTTCACATTATCTCATTCACACTCTGCTTCGTGTAGTCAGCGGCATCTGCCTCAGGGGGGTGAGCTAAAGGAGCGTGTTGGCGTGAGAACTGTTGTAGATGTAGAAGACAGATGAAGAAAAAATGTAATATTTGACAAATAACCGCTGTAGTACTGAGTGCCGGGTATAAAAGTTGTGACGCGTAAGAAGCGTCTCACAAACCCCTTTCTCGTTTTTTTTTTCGATTTTCAAATAATACTACTTCATTGAACAGTACTTTTTATGGGTATTTAAAACAAGAAGACGGAGAGCAAACGTTCCAGGATCCTTCTGTTTTCTAATGAGATATCATTTGTTTAATTTTGATGGTTGAAAATGTCTTAAAAATAGTTTTGAAAGTGGTGAGGTGCGGCACTACTATTTCACTACACACAGCTGTAGGTACATACATATGTAGTTGCCTGGGAGTAAAGAAGAACAAATAAGTACACACGAAAATGCATGCGTACATACATTAAGGGAAATAAATAAATGTGAGCATATTGCCTAGTGTAATTTATTATTAGACTCTTAACTTATTTAAACAAAAATTATGAACATTTAAACCATAAAAAACATAACCAAAAAATATATTTTTTTTTTAAATATGTACATACATACATACATATAGTAAAATATCCATAATGCCCTACACCCACATACGCATTAAGTATACGTTAAGCTCTTTACATATTCATAACCACATTCACACCTATACACGTTATGCATATGCGCAGCACTCAGCCTTACACCCATGTATTCGCATCTATATGAAATAAGATAAACATATAAGAAAATACCCCAACACCTGAATAAACAACGCATGATTCGTCTATACCGAAATCAACAGGAAGTCCCATGCAACCCAAAACTCTGGGATGCAATAGAACGTCTCTGGCCAATACGTTATCAACTCGTTCCCACACTCCACACTATGACTAATTCAGAATCAGCCCCACACTCCAATAGAAGGGAGAACTCTTGTAAACAAGCGAGTTCTCAAGATGAAAGCTGACACCATTCACCAGCTGCGGCTGCCTGTTTCATCCAAGCCGACGCATCTCCCAAGCCTCCCACACATATGCCAACGCATCGCCTATCAGCCGCTCTCACCAAAGCAACGCCTCTCGCAACTGAAGCTTCGTCTCTTTCAGCCAAAGCCATCATCACTCAATTCCGAAGACGAAATATCAGCCGAAGCCGAAAGCTTAGGAAGATAAGCTTTTAGCTTCCCAACAGAGGTCTCGAGATCAATAACCCGAGAACAAGAAGACAGTTCCGGTTGAGACTTTCTAACATTGTGTTGGGGAATTCATAATCATATCCATGTTCTATTATATAAGTTCGGTTAAATAAAATATATTTTTAAAAACCTACTTTTGAACTCGGGAATTCTTATTATATGTATTTCTTGTACCTGGTTGTTTTCGTAGTTTTTTTAGTAGAGCTAAGGTAAATAAAATGATTTCGGTACATTAAATTATTCCAAGCAGCATGTAAGGCGATAAAAGAAGAATGTGAAATAGAGAATTAAAGCAATGAAGAAATGTAAATGTCATACACATACACACTTACATCCAAATCCAGTTGCAAATATGTACATACATATGTACATATATACTGATCGATTGTTAAAGGCAAAACTACAAAGTCTTGAGAAACTCAATAGATTCACATTTGTACATATGTGTACATATGTATGTACACTGTGCGTTTTTTTCACTCACACTATGTTAGAAAGGCCGATCTAATTTCACTGACTGACACCAACCAAACTTCGATTTTTCGAGACGCACCTGTGCGGGAGATACTATGTACATAAAATGTATACATGCATATGTACATACATATGTGCGAGACGCTACAGAGCAGAGACCCAGTCGGACCGTCTAGAAGTGGATACTAAAAATAATCTACGTATCTTGTATCCCTAGACTATGAAGAACCGATTCCTGAAAATAGGCGTTCTTTCATGCATATTTTTCCACCAAGAAAGAGTAAATGTAACCCGAACAGCTTTCCGACCTTCCGGGTTTTTTCCGAAGGCCAACATATGTATGTTTGTAACCACTAAGCAAACAACTCATAGAGTGTTCAAACGTTGTAAAAACTGGCTGCCTAATCAGTTTAGTGGATTGGCTCCCAGTGCCTTCGGATCTTGGTGAGATAGACTTCGGCTGAGAGAGTGTGGCGTTGGCTCTCTTGATCATTGAACGCAATGCGACTCTCGCAAAAACAAAGTTTTGTTTTTCCTTTTAAGTCTGCTTCGTAATTTCATGTTTAACTTTTGAGCATCTTGTTGAGCGCCTGGATCTCAGAGACCATAAAAACTAGAGCCACCAAATTTTGCATCCAGACATTAGTGTATTTACAAAAGTTACAAGTGTATTTAAAAAATGAGCCCCGCCCCCTTTCGCCCCGGCAAAAGGACGAAAACCTCCCAAAGCTACATTTTGGAAGATACAAGAAAACGCCAATCCGTAGGGAATGACCATACCTATCAGATCACCAAATTGGTTTCCGATCGGATCATTAATATAGCCACCCAGCAAATTTTTTAATTTTTTTAACACATTCTCTCATTTGCACTTTGCTTCTGGTTTTTATTCTCTGCCTCTGACGTGCATTTGTAGTGTGCGGCTCTAGGAGAGGGGGTCGAGCGAAAATAGCGTGTTGGCGTGAGAAGTTATGTAGATGACAGGTGTAGAAAACATGTAAAAAAACAAAAAAAAAACAATATGGTACATTTACACTGACTGATTGCCGGGTATAAAAGTTGTGACGCGTAAGATGCGTCTCACACGTCCTTTCTCGTTTTTATTGTCAGCATTGCTGGATACCCGGCTTAAAAAAATATTATTTTATCGACTTTTGAAAATGAGTTTGGGCCATAGTGTTTTGTCCGCCCTACCCGCTTGGCGGATCTGCCAAACACACAAGCACACACGCCGTTACTGGCACTCAGTGTTTGGACAAGAGTGCGAGTATGACATGTTCTCGTGACTCTATCTCTCTGGCATCCGATGGTGAGGTGATGAAATGCATATTTTTTTCGTTATTGATAACACTACTCGACCAACTTTTTTTTTCGCTTCGAACCAAACCGACTTTTCCTGATGGACTGAGGGCTTTAAATTTTTTTAAAAGAATTATGATTTTTTTCTGGGGTAGAACCTTTTTTTTAAAGAATTTGTAAAGTTTGTTATTTTTGTGGAACTTTTTTTTTTAAAGGAAGCTCTTGTTTCACATAACTTAAGTACATCTATAAAGAATAACCTAACACTTTGAGGTTTTAGCACACCATTTGAAAATATTAAGCTTTGAAATTAAAAAAATTTGTTTTTTGTGAGGTATTTCTTACGAATTTTGGACTTTAAAAACTCGGGAAAAGTCGATAATGTGTCCACAACTATTTTATGAACAGGTTCTTTAATTAGCGTCTTTCAAGATATTGCTCGTCAAAATCTATGGAGAGACGAATGAGCTAAAATTCTTCAACAAACTCTAAAAAATCCGAAAAATATACTTGTTGGAGGGTTGCGCGCCCAACTGCCAGAGTATTCCTGGCATCAGAATCGAAAAGAAAAGAACAATCGAGAAGGGACGTGTGAGACGCTTCTTACACTTCACAGATTTTATACCCGTCACTCAGTACTACATCTGTACCTTAGCGGTTATTTGTCAAATTTTAAATTTTTTTCTTCATCTGTCATCTACATCTAAAACACTTCTCACGCCAACACGCTCCTTTAGCTCGCCCCCCTTCCCTAGACCCACACACTGCTATCTTTTTTTAAGGCTTTTAAGTTATTTAAGGAACTTTAGTTAAACTGGTAAAATTAGGCGAAAAAAATAAGTTTTTAGTTAAGACTTTTAAACCATTAATTCTTAATCTATATTTATCAATCAAGATTTAGTTCAGTGTCCTATTTTGGCAACATCAGTTGCGCAGCGTCTCGGCATGGAATCCACTAAGACCAGGCATAGCTTTTGGGGAGCTTTGGACCAGGACTCTTCAATTTGTTATCAAAGTGATCCTACAGTGGTTGGTTTGAAAGCAGCAACTGCCTTTTGGTAGCTAACCACCAATTTTCGATGGGTTTCATGTCAGGCGACTGTGCTGACCTTGCTTTCATGCTTGGGTTATTTACCGGTTGAAAGACCCATTCTAGTTGCATTTCATATTCTGCAAACGGTAGCATTACAGTCTCCATGATATCCACAGCACACGTGCTAATCCTTGATGGTTTTTATTCAATACATTGAATCTACTCCATAGTAAGAGAAGCAGAGCCATACCATTAAATTAAACCTTTTATTTTTAATGGTTTTCTTTGGTGTACTGCCGTTTCCTTGGACGTCTTAAGTAGGATCGAGATCCCTTTTCAGTGAATAAAACACTTTTAACTCATCTGACATTATAGGGATGTCCAATTGGCATGCTCCCTTGCAAACATCATGTGATTAGTAATATGTCTGGCGTTTAAAAGTGCGAGTTTTTTTGGGTAGCATGCTTTTAGGCGATGTTGGCTAAAATATATCCAAAATTTCGAGCCCATCGCTTTTATTTTAAGCTCGATAGCAGGCTTGAAGGGAACCCTTTTGCTCTCACGAATCAGCCTTTTGACCCTAAAAGGGGTAATAGATCGTTTTCATCCACGTGTTTCACACTTTTCTTCATAGTTTAAGGCATTTTTAATAATTTTATTGAAACTTCCTACCAATTGACCAAATTCTCTGTATTTTCTTACGTCAAATAAAACTTTGTTGCTAAGGTCGCGCTTCTTTGCATTTCAGAGCTTTCCACGTGTTATTGCAATGATTATTATTAGCTTTTATGATACGTGGTTTACACAAAGTCAATTCTGCGAAATTACGGAGATTCACTTAAAATAGTGCTAATGGTGATATTATTTTTTTCGCCATATTTGTAATATTTTTCTTAAGGATAAAAAAAATAGAAAGACAGAAATTTAAAGAAAGGCAACATTTTTTTGTTAATGGGGAATATAAACTATATATATAAAAACTAAAAACTAAAAAGAATCGCAACAGTAATAGCTGCTTTTTTTGGCCAAGAACAAAATATGTTGTAGTGGTGCTATTATTTTTTTCGCGGAAGCGGAGCGGAAGCACCTTTTGATCTTCATAATCAAAATAATTAAGCAGTGACCCAATTTATACCATACGTACATATTTTAATTATATCTGAATTTGTGGTTTCTGTGTGCTTATCTATGTGTTTATGTACATACTTACATATGTATGTATGAATTTCTGTACATACCCTACAGTACCAGGAAACATCGATGACAATGTCAGCTTGGATTTTGTTCTCTGGCGCTACGGCAGCCGAGCATAATACGAAGTCAACGCGTCCGTCAACCAAAACTATTTTTTTTTCTTAAGCCTAGTACCACTAAGCAAACAACTCATAGAGTGTTCAAACGTTGTAAAAACTGGCTGCCTAATCAGTTTAGTGGATTGCCTCTCAGTGCCTTCGGCTCTTGGTGAGAGAGGCTTCGGCTGAGAGAGTTTGGCGTTGGCTCTCTTGATCATTGAACGCAAAGCGACTCTCGCGAAAACAAAGTTTTGTTTTTCCTTTCAAGTCTGCTTCGTAATTTCATGTGTGTATTCAGCACGGAATATGTGTGAATAAGCATAGAGAGACACACACGAGACCGATCAGACGTGTGAGACGCTTCTTACGCGTCACAACTTTTATACTCGGCACTCAGTACTACATCTGCACCTTAGCGGTGTTTTGTCAAATTTTAAATTTTTTTTCTTCATCTGTCATCTACATCTACAATACTTCTCACACCAACACGCTCCTTTAGCTCGCTCCCCTTCCCTAGACCCACACAATGCAGACTCGCGGCAAATGCAGTGGCCGCAAAAGCAGAAGCAGAGTGTGAATGAGAGAATGTGAAAAAAAAAACAAATATAAGCTGCGGGACGGGGTGGGTTTAGCCACTGAAAATTAATTTCTTCATTGTGGCTATAATTGGCGAATCTGGTGATCTGATAGATATGGTCATACCCTACAGAAACCCTACAGTTTTCTTTTATCTTAAAAATTGTAGATTTGGGAGGTTTTCGCACTTTTGCGGGGGCGTGGCTAATTTTTGAAATACACTAGTAACAGTGCGAGCATACAGAAGTCTGGATGCAACATTTTGTGGCTCTAGCTTTTATGGTCTCTGAGATCCAGAAGCTCAACAAGACGGACGGACGGACAGACGGACAGACAGACATGGCTCAATCGACTCGGATATTGATGCTAATCAAGAATATATATACTTTATGGGGTCGGAAACGTGTTCTTCTGAGTGTTACATACTTTCTGCACAAATACAATATATCATATTTACTCTTCGAGTACCGGGTATACAAAATACAGAATTCGACTTTTAAGTAAAAAGGGTTTTTTTATGAATTATTTTGTGTAAATACCCCAAAAATAAGGCCCGTTTAAACGATCACTAGAATAGACTCAATGATGAATTTTAGGCAAAATCTTTCAAAAGTTTTGTAATACATATTTTTTATGTTTTTTGGAGCTTAACTAATAATGTTTGTGAAAAACTTTTTTGGAATTGCTTGGTAATGTCCTGCAGGACATTAAAATAAACGGGATTTCAAAGGGCTGTCATCTACATCTACAACACTTCTCACACCAACACACTCTGTTAGCTCGCCCCCCTTCCCCAGAGCTACACACTGCAGAGGCACGGCAGAGGCAGAGGCCGCACACTGCGCGAAGCAGAGTGTGAATGAGAGAATGTGAAAAAAATGCAAATAAATTTCTTCATTCTGTCTATAATAATGATTCCATCGAATAACAATTTGGTGATCTGATAGATATGGTCATTCCCAACGGAATGGCGTTTAGTTTTCTTTCATCTTCAAAATTGTAAGTTTAGGAGGTTTTCGCCCTTTTGAGGGCGCGGAGCTAATTTTTGAAATACACTTGTAACAGTGTGAGCATACAGAAGACTGGATGCAAAATTTGGTGGCTCTAGCTCTTATAGTCTCTGAGTACTAGGCGGTCAGGTCATTAGGACGGACAGACAGACATGGCTCAACCGACTCGGCTATTTATACTGACCAAGAATATATGTATATACTTTCTTGGGTCGGAAACGTTTCCTTCTGTGCGTTACATACAACCGTTATTCGCACAAATCAATATACCCTATTTACTCTTCGAGTTCCGGGTATAAAGACCCACATACATATGTACATGCCTGTGTTCATGCACTGACATTGTGTTATGTACCTGTGTATGCACACACACATATACATATAGATATATGTACAAGGCTGTGCCGTAAGAGAATTTAGTTAAGCCCCATAATGGTTGCATCAACGCAGGCTGGGGGACCTACATACACACACACATGCATATGTAGTTTTCTGCTAGACACAGATGAACCGCCTCGAGAAAATAAATTCATACATAAAAATGTTAGTATGTATACTTTGTATGTCTTTATTTCGGGGATCAAATATATCATAGGCATGAAATGCGGGGATGGGTTGTGGGGATGCACCCGTGAGTGTGGGTGGAACGCAAAATACATTTTGGATTGGATAGTCGGGGGAAAGCAACTACATATGTACATGGGAAAATTTGAACTGATGACTCATCCCGAAAAAAGAAAAGGCCTTGCCTTAGTCAAGTACATACATATATAGTACATGAATGTGTTCCTATATTCTCCTATGTGCGTATGTGCCTATATTTAGGGCCAAGAAAATATGAGATCATTTTTCCGTAGAGTATGCACACTTGTCGACTAGCGGGTAGAAACAAGTTACCGATAGCACAAGATATGTACATACATATGTACAAACATATTGATGCAAGTTGCTGTCAGGCAGAAACGGTAGAAGAAATAAGGCGAATTTGACACATACATATTTATGTGTGCTTGTTTTCTTGTGTACATATGTATGTACATCATATGTACATATTTTATGTACACAAGCAAATATACAAGCGATGTAAACAAGTTTTCGCCAACTTTTCAAAAATAAAATAATACATTCTATGTCGCTTAATAAAAAATACATAAGTATGCTAATTTGTATTGTGGTATATTTCTAAGATTGTCTCTCTGAGAGCTAGGATTTGCACTTTGATTCGAAACCGGGCAGCAAGGCAAGAATAAATACAAAAACTGTATGAATTTTCAGACTTACAGGCCCTGTGTTGGCGATGAGGAAACAAGAGCAGATAAATACACAGGATTCTGCCGATTTTTAACCCATCGACCCTAATCGATCGCACCTGCGAAACCCTAACAACATTGGGATCTGGGGAACCCCTTCTCAATGACTCATGACTCTCTCAATATTATTGGAATTTTTAAAACAAATTGTTCTGCGCCATTACGTAATTTACATACATTTGTATGTACATATGTACCATGCACACATTATGTTTGTTCGGCTATAGGCGGTCTAATTGGCCGGCAGCCCAAATCCATAAAAATCCACTGCTGGGAGCTCACCTTGTGGACTCGAAAAAGTTTGCCTCTCGATTCATCAGCTCGTGCCGGAACTTGGCCATCTCCTCCTCCATTTTGCGCATCTCAGAGTCGAATCTTTCCCGAATGTTGCTAAACTCCGTGTCAATGACGCTGAAGTCACCCAGTTTAATGGGAATATTCCTCTTATTAGCTTCAGCCATTTTTGATTTGCTAGATTTTCTGTGGTGGTTGCGATGAGCTACAAATAGCTTTTTTCTGATTTGGTTATTAATAAAACCACACCGCGGAGTTGTCGCTTTTGCTTCTATAGAATTTGGTTTTTTTCACTGTTTAGAGCTCCCTAGTTTTGCACTTTTAATAAAACTGCTTGAAGAAGCAGGCAAAAAAAAAAAAATTAAGCAACTCAATATATTTTCAGTAAATATATATGTATGTATGCAAGTACATGCGTATTCTTAGAGTCTCTCACAATTTGCAGCCTTTATTCTGTTTCAAACCGCACTTTCATCGAGCTGACGCTTTTATAGTGACGTACAGTGTGACCGCGGACTTATCGATCAAATATACCGCCCGAGCCAATTAAATATACAAAAATATACAGTAAATATACCGAATAGTCTAGTCACATCCATGATGCAACTATACAAGGTGGTCTCATCGGTCGGTGTTCGGGTCTATTGGTTATCAATGAGAGTTTCTGTGCGGACGAACTATTCCCACATATAATTCCTTATGCGTAGGGAGAATTACTTTTTAAATTTTCGCAGTAAGAAACTTATAATTTTTTGTTAGAATTGGGGACAGAAACAGGAACCGGGGTTGTTTTTTTTTTTTTTTTTTTTTGCTTTTCTTGCTTGCAGTCTGCCCATTCACTGTATTAGCGTTATCCATCTTATTATTAAACTGTGGAAAATGGTACTGTTTGTAATTGCATCTTGTATCTGCATCCTTCCTCGTTCCCTACAAAGAAATTATACAGGTAAGTATTGGAGCAAAGCTGTAACAAGTTACATATTACGACGTGGCGATTTCCCCCTTGTAAAGGCGGGTGGCCAAATAATTCCCCTCTACCTAAGGGTAGTGCGGTAACTTAAAACCTCAAAAAAAAAAAAAAAAAAGAAATTATACCACAACGTTCACCTGAAATGCCTAGAATATCTGCAGGTATCAATGTTCGTGTGTACGGTGATATGCCCACTTGTTTACAATGGTCTATTGTAGCTCTGTAGAGCTCCGAGCAGAAGGCTAATTTTTTAAATACACTTGTTACAGTGTGAGAATACAGAATTCTGGATGCAAAATTAGGTGGCTCTGGCTTTTGGAGTCTCTGAGATCCAGGCGCTTAACAAGACAGACAAACAGACGGACAGACAGACATGGTTCTATCGACTCGGATACTGATGCTGATCAAGAATGTGTACACTTTATGGAGTCGGAAACGTTTTCTTCTGTGCGTTACAAACATTCGTTATTCCCCACAAATACAATATACCCTATTTAATGGCGTTTTTAGTTTTCTTTAATCTTAAAAATTGCGAAAATGTTTACAAATATACATGCTTGCAGAGATTTAATCGTTATTTCGTATTGCTTTAGAAATTTTAATTTGTTACTCAGACTTTGTGGAAGACCGTTTTTCAAGACTCAACTTTCCTATAGGAGATACATACATGTGTATATACACATGAATGGATGTGTGTATGTATGTTCGTATGTGTGCATGTACGTGCATACAAATGTACATATATAGGCATTATGTTCAGTCATCCCTGTTTCCATTTTGAGTTCCAACGGGGGCTACAAGCCAGTCCACCAAAATACAAATGGATTAAGTCATAAATTGGTCATGTTTGTTTTGGTCATGGCATCGCCCACATGGCCGTGGCCACCCGTCAAAACAATAAATTTTCATGAATTTTCATAGAAATTTTCGACCTTGAATGCGACAAAATCTCATCAAAGACAGCTTATACATAATTTTGAAAAATAAAACAGGGAGTATAACGCATCCATACAATTAGTTACATATTTAAGATGTACATACATACATATGTATTCACGTATGTAAATACATATATGTATACACATATGTACATATTTTCATACATACATGCAAATACATATGTATGAGTGTATGTACATATATAGCCGTGAATGTGTATGTAAGTAAATACACAACACCACTCGACAAAATAAAACCTTTTTTCCTGGTGGAACCAAACCGACTTTTTCTGAAGCCACTAAAAACTGGTATTTTTTAATGATTTTTTCAGAGGTAGCGGTTCGTTGTTACACATAACTTAAATATTTTATACCTGTATGGAAAAAACTTTGCTGAAAAACTAATTTATGCATCTGGAAAATATTAAGCTTTCAAATGCAAAAAGGATGATTTTTTATATGGCATTTTTCTTTCAAATGTTATATTTTTTCTTCATCTGTCATCCACACCTACATATGTACATCATTTCTCACGAAAACACGCTATCTTAGCGCGCGTTGTTTTTGTGGTTCTTTCAAATTCCACACATGTTTACAAAACACAGCTGATTCGTAGCCTGTGTTAGTTACGTTCAACGCACAAACAAAATATATGGAAAATTCCTGGCTAGAATTTGCCGCGGTGTTGGATACCCGTCTTAACTTAGGTATTTTATGTCTGGTTGTCATAAAAAAGCTGATAAATGCATCTATAAAGTGTAAAGCCTAGTACTTAGATTCAAAAACACATTTGTAGCATATTTTGCTACCAGAAGAGTGTGACCAGATGTGAAAACAGCCTTCTGTACTGAATTGCACTCGGAATTTCACACGGAGTTACACTTCTCAGGAAGCCGTTTGGCCTTGTTTACCTTTTTAAAATATGTGAACAGTGAATACAAGGTTAATAAATAAATGAAAATATATGGGATCAATCCAGGAGATTACATTTAGTGGGATTGGCGGCTCTTGCATTACCGGAGGAGGACAACCGACAACCTTGATTAAACCCATATCTGCAGGAAAGAAACCAACCAATTTATAATATATGTTTCCTTTCTTTGCCGTCTGATGGCCTTATGCTCGTTTAGAAGCACGGTGGTAATTTATCTTTCAACTTCAGCGGCATTGTTGCCTCCATTTGATTGAGACTTCAGTCTCTGTTTGTTAGGTACCCTATCGGAATATAAAACAAATCTAAATTTTTCGAGCTGGTAGCAACATACCTCGTTCGTTCTCTTTCGTAGTGACCAGACGTGTCTATTTTGGCTAAACAACCGGGTTTTTTTCAAAATAATTCTTTTTATAATTACTGAATTGCCACTTTTCTTACACATCCTAATAGGCGAGTGCATGCCTCTTATATGTTTAAAATTAAAATTTAATCGTATTCATTTGTGCGTCTGTTAGTTGTGTGTTTGTGCTTTTTCTTTTTGTAAGTACGCCCTCACTATTAACCGCTATCTCTTGTAGTTGCGCTTTTGCCTTTCACTCTCTAGCTAGAGTAACTGTTCTTCCTCTCTCGCTCTCAATACTTTCCGTACAGTATCGTGCGCTCACTGTTTTAGCTGCCGCTGCGCTTGTTCTTCTCTCCTCTCTGCGCTTATCTGTTTTCGATCCCGCTTTAAGCATTGCTTTAAGCACTTGGTCGGCACACTGGTCCCATTGCTATTTGTTTTAAGAAAATAATTTATATTAAAATAAATTATGTAAAAATAATGGAATACGTTGTGTGTTCCGCTAAGGCTTGTAAGAAGCAGATCACCCACGACCAGCCGAGCATCCCTTGCTGGCTCTGCAATAACGTAGTGCACGCAAAATGTATTGGGTTTTCGGGCCTCGTGGGTGACGCAATTTCAAAGAGTAATGGTCTGCAATACAGTTGCGAGGCATGTCGGTCTGTCGAGAATGACATGGTCACGTTTATGAGGCAGACGCGAAAGGGCTTTAAGGAGCTGCTAAAAAGCAGTACGATCGGCTTCTAGCCATGGAGCCTCAATTCAGCGGTTTTACAGATCACTCCTCGTGTTCTGCAAGTGCCTGTCCCTCGACCGCTCGCTGCTGATCAACTGTCTCCGTCCACTCCGATAGTGCAGCAGCTAATTTCGTTCGCTACTCCAAGGGCAACGACAACTGCTGGTGATCAAGTTTCGGCTTCCGAATCGATCATCTCGGAGAACATGCAGCCAGTTAGTACTGTAGCGTCCGTGTCTGTCGAGTCCGTTCCAAAGCCCATCCCATCTATTTCGATCCCACCAATTAATAACCGTCCCGGCAAGTTTTTGTCTCTCGGCTTGCCCCTGACCTCACATCTAATGATGTAACTGCTTTTATACAAAGAAAATAAAAGTCGTTTGCTTAAAGGTGGAGAAGTCTAATTTCTCGTATGCCAGGGAGATATCCTGTTTCAAGATTAGCGTGTCTCCAACTCATTTCAAGACCATTTGCTCTTCCAAATTTTGGCCAGAGAACCTGGTTGTGAAAGAGTTTAAGGCTAAGAAGAAAAATAGGCCCCCCATAACTCTTCCTAGTAGTGAGGCCAGTGGTCCTTCCTCCTCTGCTCCATCCGCCTCTTCCCACTGCAATTCCTTGCAGTCAAAAAAGTAACATCCCTCTTTGTAGCCTATCAAAATGCTCGCGGCTTACGTAGTAAGCTGAACACTCTTTTTATGGATAGTTTCACATTTTCATCCCATGTTATTGTGTTTACCGAAACCTGGTTAGAGCCGGACATTAATAGTTCCGAAGTTTTGGCAGATCGATCACAATTTATAGGAAAGATCGTTCGTCTCGACATGGAGGAGGGGTTCTGATTGCAGTAAACTCTTACTTTACGTCGGAACTTTTCATAGTTCAGGTCTCACAAGACCTGGAATTCCTCTGTGTCACTTCTATTTATGTCACTTGCTCGTATATTCCACCGTCTTCGGATGTACTAATATACGAGCAGCATTTGTCTGCCTTAAAAACTGTTTCTTCCTCGCTATCAGATAAAGACCATTTAATAGTTCTTGGGGATTTCAACCTGCCAGGTACTGTCTGGTCTTCGGTTAACGAGTCAAACAACCTTGTGCCCATGTCACGACATGAGTTTATTGATGGCTTATTAGACCTGTCCCTGTCTCAAGTCAACCATGTAAAAAACTCCTTGGGTCGATTGCTTGATCTGTGCTTTGTCTCGGATCCGACCGTAGCGTTGTTAACACGAGCACTCCCGCTC